TATTAGAATGTATTTTTCATTACTATATGACACAATTCCTATGGGACATATATAAAAAGCAATTTAATGTAGTGCTAAATACAGTGTTCGAACATTCTGTGAAGTCATACTTCACAGTTCTGTTCAAATGAGTCAGTGTAGTAGGTGGTATCTGTAGCAAATATCAGAGGAAAATCAATACAGCCTCTCTAGTTTGTGCAAGACTTCAAACAGGCATCTGACCTGCATATATTTTATGCACCTATATGAATTAATCATTCTGAAAACCTTCTAAACAAAACATTTATATTTGCAAGTTAGTTTCTCAGTAATATGTTCCTTTCAGATTTTAGATACTAAATAATTGAGGGAAGTACAATTCGTTAATGTTTTCTTCTCTTTTGTAAGTAATCTCTTCACTGTTTTGCTTTGTTATTCACGAACTTTTTATTTTTATGTAATCATATTTTGTGCAGGTTTGTTTCCTGTGCTTTCAAATTAATTAAAAACTCCTTGCACATCCTAAAATCCTGAAGCCTTTTCTTGCCATTTTCTTCCAGAAATTTCAGTTACAGGCCTTCCATTAAAGTCTTTAATTTTGATTTCAGCTTTGTAATAGGTGAATGGTAATGGTTATATTTTTTGTCTGCATATAGATGTCCAATTTCCACAGAACCACTTATTGAAAACTTATCCAATGCATACTAACACATTGCTGCAATGTTAAAGATGTGTTTGGAGTTGGTTCTGTATCTTCTATTTGTTTTCCCTGTTCCTTGTGTGTTTTTTTACCAGTACCATGCTGGTTTTATCCCAGTAGATTTGCATTTTAACTTCAAACCCAAAATGTGATACCTCTCCTTTTGTTCTTTTAACCCACATTGCTTTTCTATTCTCCATTTCTTTGGGTTCCATTGAATTTTACGATCATTTTCCCAGTTCTATTAAGAATGTTGGAATTTTGATTGGGATACCATAAAATCTATATCATTTTTTGGAAATATGTTCATGTTGACTACATTGATTTTGGCAATCCAGGAATTGCAGATATCTACTTTCTGAGATCCTCTTTGATTTCTTCTTTTAGGGTTGTAGCTTTTCTTGTACATCAATTTCACTTCTGGAGATTAATTTCTAAGTTTCTTTTTTTTTTTCTCCTATTGTGAATGGTATATTTTCCTAATTTATGTTTCATTGGGTTCATTATTACTGTATGGGAATGGTATTGATTTATGCATTGATTTTGTATCTTGCTACATTACTGAATTTGATTGATTCCAGCATTTAATTTGGGTCACCTACATAGAGGATTGTTTCATCTAAAAACAATAACTTGAGTTCTTCCTTTTCTATATTTATCTATTTTCATTTTCTTGCCAAATTGTTCATGGTAATGTTTGAAGTACTATGCGGGAGGGGGACTTAGCTCAGTGGTTCTGCCACCTGCCTCAGAAGCTGAAGGACCTGAGTTTGATCCCTGGTAGAG